GGCTATGTACAAGTGGAATGGGTCGGCATATAGCGCATTGTCGAGTGGTCACGGGTGGTGGTGTGACTGATATACAGTATTACGTAAGGGCCGGGTCACTAGAGTCTCTTCTGAACGAAATTGTGGCTTCAAATTATTATGTGGATTGAGTGTGGTCTGAATTCGAGCTCATGCGATAGTTTGTAGATCAATAGCCAATCCATTTGACCCCCCCCCCCCCCCCCCTCTTCACAATGCTCACACCATCAGGCCCTGTAAAGCAGCAGCTGCTGCATGTTCGACCACTAACATAAACACACACTTGAAATCGCCTTTATAACCCAACCATAACTTCATCACAGCGCTAGATCTACACCACAAGACCATCATGCTTTTAAAACTCAGCACAAGAAAAAGGCAAGGACATGCCAAATAGTTGATTATGTACCAGGATGTAGAGTGCACTATGGTCGGTATCAGTACACACTTCTTTTACCAGCTTAGCTACGTTTCGGATTAGCCTGACCGACTCACCGATATACCTTGCGCTTTAGAACTTTCCGCCATAGTCGGAGTTTTCACAGCAACTGCCCTTGTTCCAACTGCAGGTTACTGTCACTCTAGTCACCTATCTGCTGTTAGGTCTTCTTTGTAGTCTGCTTCTTCTTCGCGACGTGTAACACTGACGACGTACCAGCCACCATCGATGAAGCAGGTGAGGATGTTTCGACGCATCCCACATCCTGACGCACGGATGTCAAGTGAGAAGAGGATGTCTTTGCGGACGCCAGCTTATCAATGCCATGCGGCAACGAGGACCATGCTTGGCCGACAGTGTTCCTCCGGAAGAATAATCAGACAAGATCGGTACTCGGCGACTCGCTAGGGCGAAAACGAGAGGGCCAGGGCTTGAAAGCACAGGACGGCAGGAGCCCTCGCTATGCCTGAGCCTGGAGTTCTCTGAGCTCAATGGGGTAAGGACTAGGCTCTTCCCAAAGATGCTTAACAAGTTCGCAACTAGTTACTTATGCTTTTCGCAACCATGCTAAAACAGGTGAAAGTTGTTGAGATCGCATTCATATTTTCTGAAAATGCTCAAAAGTTCCTAATAATTTAATATACGTATCGCAACTCAAAATGAGCGAAATCTTGTGCGTAATGATGCTAATAAAAGCAATCAAAAAAGTAGCGGAAGTAGACAACACTGCACTGTGGCGCAGCACAACTGCATTGCTGTCATGCGAACTAAGTTACTTTGAAGCACATAAGAATGCATAATCTGTTTATAATAATAATAATAATAATACTAAGGTAAACAGTTTCCTCTGAGACAAAAATGCGATAATACTCATAAAAAGGACACACTTCAGGCTCGTTACAAACATCTTGAAAGTTTTTGTCTTTCGGCTTGTACAATTCGTTTTCGCAAAGCTTCCCTTTCTTTACTTATCTTTGATATTTATGACCCACCCAAGTTGGGTGGTGTGCTGCTTTGCTGCTTCGAATTGTAGTTAGACCGCTTTGTCAAATATCGTACTGGTCTCGTCATCGTCCAGTAACAATCGACATTCTTTGTTCCGTTGGGACTGTAGCTTTTGCTCGTTTTCGTTGCGCTTGCCTTCCCCTCTTTGGTCTTTCCACAACCTTGAACCTTCCAAGTTGGAAGGCTGTCGGTTAGCGCTACGGAGATGTGTTGAAGTTAGGTGTCAGGACGTCGAATGTCTCAGTACTCTGTCAGTTTTGTGCCTAGTTATTGCACTTTCTGACTGTATATAGTATCATGTTACAGTGATGGAGAGTTACTCTAAACTCGTATCCATATGTCCTTTTCTATTTTACATTTATTTATGGCTCAACATCCGAGTTTCAAATTGCACACCTGATGAGCCGTCACGAACCATACGGCGAAACGTACGTCGTGTGAAACAACGTGTTTTGTAGTCAACTAGTCCATCACAATGTCATGCATGAGGAGTACTGTAGGAGTTTGGCTTTCGGCTTGTACAATTCGTTTTCGCAAAGCTTCCCTTTCTTTACTTATCTTTGATATTTATGACCCACCCAAGTTGGGTGGTGTGCTGCTTTGCTGCTTCGAATTGTAGTTAGACCGCTTTGTCAAATATCGTACTGGTCTCGTCATCGTCCAGTAACAATCGACATTCTTTGTTCCGTTGGGACTGTGGCTTTTGCTCGTTTTCGTTGCGCTTGCCTTCCCCTCTTTGGTCTTTTCCATAACCTTGAACCTTCCAAGTTGGAAGGCTGTCGGTTAGCGCTACGGAGATGTGTTAAAGTTAGGTGTCAGGACGTCGAATGTCTCAGTACTCTGTCAGTTTTGTGCCTAGTTATTGCACTTTCTGACTGTATATAGTATCATGTTACAGTGATGGAGAGTTACTCTAAACTCGTATCCATATGTCCTTTTCTATTTTACAATAATAATAATAATAATAATAATAATAATAATAATTATGCCTGATGGTGAGGCGTCGCTCCATGAGATCAATTGCCTTGTGTATGCTGGTGCTTGCGTTTGCATATCGACTATCCAAGGCAGTCAGAATCATCCGACTGGCAATGCCAAGCAAAACGGAAGTGACAAGGACCATCCGCCGCAGTGGCAGATCCGATTGACAAAGGAAATCGATCAACTCCGCTCGGATGTTTCCCGACTCACCAGCATGCTACGATATCCATCGGAGAAACATCATGACTTCTGGAGGAGATATGAAGTTGAAGTCGGAAACACAGACGAGTTGGAAATGAAGCTACAGGGAAAGAAAGATCGACTTCTTGCGCTAGCAGCCAGGATGCGTCGATACCGAGAAAATGAAAAGGCCAAAAAAGCCAACAAAATGTTCCAAATGAATGAGCGTGCTTTCTACCGGACGCTTCGGGAGCCTGCACACCCTGTTAGTGGTGCTTCAAATCGATTGGAGACGCCGCAATTTCCAGAGGCGGGTGAAGCCACCGAATTCTGGAGTGATCTTCTGTCTACACCTGCGCCGTTCACCGCTGGTGAGTGGTATGTAAGGCAAGCAGAATATTATGAAGAACACGTCCCTGTGCAGAGTAGCGCAGTTATCACCCAGGACATCCTGGCTGACTGCCTGCGCAAACTAGCCTTGTGGAGGGCTCCGGGCCATGACAAGTTGCATGGGTACTGGTGGAAGAGGCTGACAAGCCTGCACTTTTACCTTCGGAGAGCCTTCCAGAGGGTGATAGATGGCCACAGTGACATTCCGGGATGGTTGACGTCTGGCGCTACTACTCTCCTTCCTAAGACTTCTCCACCTTCGGCAATGCCCAAAGATTATAGACCAATTACGTGTCTTCCGATACAGTACAAGCTCTTTACCGCCGCCATATCGAAGATTATGTGGCAGCACATCAATCAACATGAAATACTTGCAACGGAGCAGCGCGGTTGTGCAGCAGCTGGTCTTGGTTGCAAGGAGCACCTGATGGTGGATAAGATGATTCTGGAGGATGCCCATACGAAAGGGCGAAATCTGGTCATGGCATACCTGGACTTCAAAAAGGCATTTGATAGTGTGTCGCATGAATGGATTCTACATGCTTTGACGATGTATCGATTCCACCCGTCTTTGGTCACAACTATTGCTCGTAGCATGCGGAACTGGAGAACGACAATGCACATATGCGACCAGGGAAGATGCAGGGTCACTACCGGCAACATTTCAATAAGAAGAGGCATATTTCAAGGTGACACATTATCCCCGTTACTGTTTTGCCTGGCGCTAAACCCAATCAGTTTTGAGCTCAACCGATTGCCTTTGGGATACAGAGTCAGCTGCAGAGACGCCGAGTTGTCTATCAATCACTCTTGGTACATGGACGACATTAAACTCTATGGGAAAACTACAAAGGATGTGACTACCCTCGTGTCTACCGTGTGTGGCGTTGGTGATGACATCGGCATGAATCTCAACCCGGCCAAGTGTGCCGTGCTGCACGTCAGGAGAGGAAAACCAGATGAAGGATGCTCTATCCAGGTTGGCGATGAGACCATTGCAGAGTCGCTACGACTCAATGAAACATACAAGTACCTTGGAGTAGTGCAAGCAGCCATGATACCTCACCCGAAGCTCAAGACGCAACTCACTACAGAATACAAAAAGAGATTGTATCTGCTTCTTAACAGTGGATTGAATGCGCGAAACATGATCAAGGCCATCAATACGTATGCTCTGCCGGTTATGACATATAGTTATGGAATCGTAAATTGGACCGAGGCTGAAATCAAGGCCACAGATCGAGTGACAAGATCAGCCTTGACTGCGTCTGGATTTCACCACCCCAAAGCCTCAGTCAACAGGCTCTACATGAAGAGGGGAGATGGAGGCCGGGGCTTGGTCTCTTGTGAGGATATGCACGGCCGGAGCATGTGTGGCCTGGCCCGCTACATGAGTACCAGCCCAATAGACAGAATAAGCCTGCTTTATCAGTATCATCAACAAAAGCCTACAACAAAAAGCCACTCAATAACTGCAAAGGCCGCTAAGTTCCTGTCGAGTTTGGATCTGCCAGCAGCTGGACCAGCTTTACCCAATAAGCATACCATTAAACAAGCGTGCGCTGAGCGAAAATCCAAAACACTTTCCACTATGCCGCTGCATGGGAGATATTGGAGCCGATTGGAGGAGAATCGCCTAGATAAGGAGCTTACCTTCATGTGGTTGAAATCAAGGACACTGAAACCTTCAACTGAAGGCATGATTATGGCAGCACAAGACCAATCCCTCAAAACGAAAAATTACCAATACGCCATAATGAAGTCAATTCCTCGAACTGATGCCAATTGCAGGCTTTGCAAGGGCAGCTTAGAAACAATTGACCACATTGTCAGTGCCTGCCCAGTTCTTGCTCGGACCAGTTACATTGAACGACATAACCGGATAGTAAAGTATGTGCACTTCGAAATGTGTAAAGCACGAGATCTACCTACTGGTGCTTCACGATTCGACCACCAGCTCAAGGCATTGGTCAAGAGTGATCAGTATCGCCTCTACTGGGAGTATTCGGTCCCAACTGACCTGAAACTATCAGCAAACAGGCCCGATCTGCTCCTTGTTGATGACAAGGAGCGCATCGCCTACATTATAGACATCAGCGTTCCTGGTGAGAACAACATCAATAAGAAAATGGCTGAAAAGCGCTCGAAATATTATGATTTGAAGCGGGAGATTTCGAGGATTTGGTCCCTCAACCAGGTTGACGTGGTCCCTGTGGTTGTCGGTGCCCTGGGAGGCTTGGTGGGGGAGACTCCTCAATGCCTTCGGACTGTGCAGGGAGGAGACCTGGCTATTGTGCAACAGGAGGCTATTCAAGGTTCGATTAAAATACTGAGAACTATCCTTAACATGTAGATGCACCTCTGCTGCGTTTGCATGTTCAATAGCTAAGAGACTTGAATAACGACTGATAAAGACTGATATTTCCTTTGTTACTACTCCCTTCATTGGTTGATGTATTTTGCCTGTCGCTGCAAATTCTTTATTATTGTTTTGATGTTGGAGTTCGGATTGAGTTTCTTTCCTTTCTTCCTCTTCCTTCAACTAGTTCTTGTCCCTTTGGTTTTTAGGTTTTATTTATTTATTTATTTTTGTTTTTGTTTTTTCACTTTCTTTTTGCTGTCCCACCCATGGAAATATTTCCCGGTGGGTCTGGCTTATCGCCTTCGAAAGAAGTGAATAAAGGAGAAATAATAACAGCTCGCATGTGCCCCATGGGTGAGATCACCAATAGCGCATCTGTCGGCAAAAGAGTTAGAGAAAACGAGAAACACATGACATACACACCTACTTCATTCTGTTATTGCAGGGAAAAACTACCTCGATTCCACCATGAGCCTAGGCATGAGGAATATAATATTAAGTACAGAATGTAATTTAAATAATAATATTCGCGGGATC